TTAGTCGCCAAATTGCCGACGAGTATTCTATGTGCCTCGCTGCGCCTATGGAAATTGTCAATCAAGCTCGCCCTAGCGCTAATATTTATGTCGATACTGTGGTGGGAGACGCCGAAGGCGTTCAAATGAACGTATTTCTACGGGTTTGCAGAGTTGTCGTCTGCCTCATACCAAATATAATTCTTTCATGTGATTAACAGCACCCGAAAACGTACGCGCCATTTGTCACCCGTGCTTCGCAAGTCAGCGACGGAATAAAAAATGCGCATCCACTATTCTAGCAACATGAATGCTTACAGCTCTGAAAAGGATGACGTACTGGCGAAGTGGTGAGAGACTTCCCAGCTTCACGCATTTGCCGACTACTTAACGACGCAGTAGTTGGATAGCCGGTATTGAAGATGGCAAATATTTCACACGCCAAGCGGGTACGTCACAGCTAATAACCCCTGCGAGACTTTCATTGCACTCCTATAACGCTACACCGGAAGGCGGCGCTATAACATGCAACGATTTCTCAGCGTAAGTCAAATGGTAGTACACAACTCGATAAAAAGGACACCCGCACACGATAGCGAAATTCAGCAACCAGCACCGTTCATGGCTCGAGCTGCCGCGTCGATGGTAGGAGCCACACGCGGTGTAGTTCATTATACTGATAATTCAAGTTTGGGTCGTGCCAATGCATTTTAGATAGAAGCCGCTAAAGAGTCTGATGGGCTTAACAACCTGTGATCAGCTCTCGGCAGCCCGTTTAATTCGACCGCGAATGACGATGACGATACGACTGATATAATTTTGGGCCCTCTCTATTGGTTAATGAGCAGCGGGAACCGGCTGCGCAGTTGTACATACGTGTCTATCGTGGTCGCTTTGATATGCGCACATGATTGCTATGCCAGAAGGTGGTTGGGCTGTGAATGCCGCTACGCGTGTGTGGCTGCAAATTATATTTTTAACCGACACAAAATGTGTTGTCACGTCATGGTTGAGTGCAAAGCAAAGAAGTTGGGCAAACCTGGCTTCGAAGATTACGGCTAAGTTCTTCAACAATCAAATTTGAAAAAAAAAAAACAATTCCGGGGAACAACCCAAGAAACAAAACCAAAATCCTACGGCTTCTATTGGCAGTGGTGATATACCCTTACCGCTTAAAAATAATAAGTTGGGGCAAGGTCAGCCGTTGCTTGCATCTCGGACTCTAAGCGTCCAGTTAATTCTGTGCCCCGGCACGTGATCCATACGACTAATTGTACCAAATTCACTACTGCTCCCTTTGGTACTGATGTGTGTGTCTTTATCGCTTCTCTACTGACATGGCCTCTCTCCTTTCACTCTTTTATTTCGAATTACAAGGCCGATTCTTCACCTGCGACGACGCTTGCTGAGCCCTTGACTCGTGTGCTTTACGCGTGGGAGTCCTCGACCGAGAGGACCTGCGTAGATTACTAGTGGTTGAAATCTCCAATCGCGGCATTTGAAGAATAGCTTCTTGGCGCTGGTTTGCCGCAACGACAGCAGCTTCAACGACCCCACTTACCGGGACAGCGCAGCACTGAGCGCTTGCATTGCGTGGCGCAACGATTGTTGTCTCAACGTTGTCCTGGCGATCGGCGTATGTCGCTGGACCATAACAAATAATCTCCGACCTCCGACAACCTCCGACCTGTATAAAAATAGTGGCACATCTGGGTCAATTACTCTTAAAACAAATATATTAAGTTCGTATTTTATACTGTGGACCACATCGAAAACGTTTACACAGGAACAGCGGCGGGGACGGCAGCGAGAGAGTTTGTGGTGGCGGTAGCGGCAGGCAGGGGTGGTGGCAGGTCGGTGAACGGGAGTGCACAGGAGACAGTGGCAGGGTGGTGCACAGGAGGCGCGGTGCACAAGCAGCAGCGAGATGCTGGTGGCGGTGAGCTGGCGGCGGCGGTATACAGGCGGCAGGGAGTTTAAAACGGTGAGTTAGTCGCAGTGAGCTGGTGGCGTGCGGTGTAAATGTGTCGCCAAGATGGTGGCGGAGGCGATAGGGTGTCGTGCGTGCGGTGACAAGCACTTTTCGGTGGTGGGCTGGTGGTGGTAGCATGCGGTCGACGAGCGAGTAGGAGCTGCGTAGCGCAGAGCAGGATACTGGCAAGCGTGTGGAGTCGATGACGGGTTGGCATGGCCAGGAGTGCTCCGTGTATTAATAATGCAATACATGTACATTTATTTGACAAATGCTATCTAATATGTTCTACGTAGTACAAAATTAATGGATCCCCACGCAAAGTTGCTACATGTACTGCTCCTAATGACGAGTTAGCTCACTGCGGCGCTGCTTCCGGAAGTCGAAGCAATTTGACCTCTTCTAAAATTTGCTACTGCAGTATTTTTCTTTATTATATCTAGTTTAAAATGTAAAAATAATGTGTGGTAATGATTGCATTGGTCATTGAAGTCGGATAAATGACGTAATGCATGTGATATGCCGACGTCTTGAAATTTGTAAGAGCATACCCATATTTCCCGAGTCCCCTCCGACCCGATATGTCGGAGCCAACTCCGACGAGGCCCAACCCGACCCATACCATTTGGATTGACCATATCATTTTGTCAAGTCAGTATGATTCGTCGCTCAAAAAAAAATGGATGATTGGTAATTATACCAAAACTGAAATTAAGCAGGGTCGGAGAATTGATGATATTCATCCATATACAGGAAAACATGCTTCAGGCTCCTCCCCGACACTATCTGCATCTTCACCATCTTCAGCCGATCTCCGCACAATCTTTGCTAGGGTACCGGACATCCAAATCTTCTATGTTGCATAAGAAATCAAGAGCAAGGAAGCCCAGCAAGATGAGTCACTTTCATTACGTGAAAACATACCACATTTTTTGTTTCATCAGAGGTACATGCATAAGAACGGTATAATCCCACAGACAGTACAGATGATCTGCACAGACGAAGAAGCATAACCGCATACAAACAGAAGTCAGCACAGAAAAAACTGTCGAAAAGTGTAAATCCACATATCGATGCGAGAAATGCACAGACTGAAACTAACTTAAGGTGTACCACATAGAGTAGCAAACGTATTGAGTGCTTGAATTTTACTGGTCGACTGGCCATAAGCTCACGGCTTACACGTGGCAGCTGAATCAAAGTCCCTCACCAGCGCGCTCGGCATTAAGCTTCGTTTTTTACCGTGACACTTGCGACGGGACCCAACCCGCTTCCTTGAAGCGACAGGAAGTAGCACTTTGTCCCTCAGCGACAAAACAAGCGTAGCGTGAGCGTGCAGACTGTGGGGATACGTGTGAAGGCACGTGTAGAGAGTGCAGTGAAGTTGCGACGGCAGCTGACAGCTTACTAGTTTCTGCAGGGAGTGGTGACGTGAAAAGATCAAGTGACAAGAAGTGACGCGTGGCCACGCAGTGACAAATCAGCGCACGGCGACCGTCTAGGCTGTGGAAAAATACGTGCAGATACGGTGGTGGAGTGGTGCTGTTCTGTGTGGCGATAATAATGTTCGTGGAGGACGGCGGCGATAGAGCTGTAGCTGGTCGGAGAAAGACCCGTTGTTGCTACAGTTGGGATCTGCTGTGTGAAATTAATGCTGCTGAGCTCGCGGAATTTCAAGATCTAGAGTTTCGCTGCGCTCGAGTGGGACACACTGACCCAGCAAGACCTTGTCGACTCTGCGAAGGAAGTGAGCACGTCATGACAGAGAGAAGACTGTGCTGCGGTAGTAAGACGTGCACACGGTATGGATCGTGCAAATTTGGGTGGAAAATATGGATGTGCAAGCAATTAAATCGATGCCAAGTGTATTACAATAGAATTGACCACATTCGTGACGAGTCAGTAAATTGTGACGGACCGCATAGAACAAAGATTACCGCAGAAATGAAGAAATTCATTCTGCAACAGGACGAATGTGCAGTTTCACCTCAGCTCATTTGGAGTAGTATGCGTCGATCTGAGATCTTACAGCCCAAGCGAGGGTACCCTACGCTAGAACAAGTGAAAAACTGCGCTAAATATTTGCGTCATCTTCAGGGCACTAAGAATTCAATTCACGTCGTCCGCGAGCTAGTTCGCAAGAACGCGTTCGACCCAACCGGGGATCTAAACCGCGCGTTCTGCTTTGGATACGATGAAGATGCAAATGGCCACGCGTGTGTGGGTAAAGGCACAGATGCAGACTCGTTTGTTATTGGCGTTTCGAGTCTTGCGCTGATCAATGCATGCATTGACTTTGCCACTCCAGGCCGCTTCTCGCTCTTCCATGCAGATGCCACATTCAAACTAAGTGATCTGGGGTACCCCGTTACTACATGCGGCTTTTCGGAGTCTTCGAGGTCCTACCAACTTGCCGCTATATTTGTAGTGAGCCGTCGAACAACCAAGGCGTACAATATGTGCCTTAGTGCACTTGTGAGCATCGTGAAACGTGTGCGCCCTTCTTTCGCGCTTCATATTGACGCCGTAATGGGTGACGCTGAAGACGCACAGCTCAACGGGTTTCAGCAGGTGTCGCCTTTTGGCTCCGCGACATATATTATGTGTTTTTTTCACGTGTTGTACAATGTCCGGAAACGAACCCGACATCTGCAGTGGGAGCATCGCAAAGCGGTAATGGACGGAATAGTAAGGATTCACTACGCGGACAACATGAACACATACTACACACTGAAAGATACAGTGCTCGCAGAGTGGAGAAAGATTCCGCAACTGGAGGTGTTCACGAAATATTTTACCGAGCAGTGGTTGGACAGTAGATACTGGCGCTGGCAAGTATTTCACACCCCGATTGGTTATGCCACGACCAATAACCCTTGCGAAACTTTTAACGCAATTCTAAAGAAGTACACCGGGCGCCGAAGGTTTTTTTATGCAGCGACTACTGGCTATCACTTTGATAGTAATTCAAGATGCTGCGGTGTGCTCCCCGACTTCTGATACTACAATCCATCCTCCGACTAGAGCGGCAGCTAAAGCTTCAGCCCTGATGATTGCCAAGGAGCGAGCTATCGTATATGCTATTGAAGATCCGGATATATGTCATGTAAAGCAGCTACCCCGGGGAGAACAAGACGCAGACGAGCAGGTAGTTGATGAGCTGTCTACAGCACTGGACGGTCCATTTCGAGAGTCGAGCGACACCTCAGAATCCGACGACAGGGATCTGTGTGTTGGCCCAGCATTAGTTGTGAGGGAACAGCGAGCTCGCGCGGCTAAGCTGTACAGCAACGTTGTGACTTGGTCGTTGTGGTACGCCCATTCGACGGCAATGCCAGAGGAAGGCTGGGTTGTTGATGTTCAACAGTGCGTGTGTGGGTGCAAATTTTACCTGAAGTTCAAAACATGCTGCCATATCATCGTCGGGAGAAAGGCAAAACGTTTGGGAAGTCCGGGTATCGAAGACAAGACGGAGAAGCTCTTCAACCGGCAAATCCGGAAAACCAAGAGCACCAAGTCCAGAAATAAGAAGAAAACGGGTAAGGAAATAGACCGCGACAGTGCCACCGACACCCCACTCCCCCTTACTGAGCCGCGGAGCGGCAGGCCGCTTCTTGCATCTAGAGCACTTGACATTCAGCTCATCTTGTGTCCTAATACGTAGCCACAAAATTCACGACGTCATTGTAATTCATTTTCAACATCAATCGTGGCCCTGTGTTTGAATAAAAGGTGTATTCCTCCTCTACCGACGCCTACTTATTTCTTATTTAGTGAGACGAGTAGCATACGTCACCCCTTTTAAACGTGTCACCCCTTTAGATGTGTCACCAACTTTTTTTATGTCACTGTCACCAACTTTTTTTGTGTCACTGTCACCACCTTTTTTTATGTCACTGTCACCAACTTTTTTTGTGTCACTGTCACCACCTTTTTTGTGTCACTGTCACCAACTTTGTTTGTGTCACTGTCACCAACTTTTTTGTGTTCTTTTATCAAGAGTTCGCGTAGCTCATTAGTATTAGCTAGTTGTGCTCTACATGTCAGAGTCGACGTCCATTTCTTCGCTCGAATATTCTTCACTGACATCACTTGCGTCGCTGTCATCGTCCAGTCCACTTGCTTCACTTACCTCGCTTTCTGAAGTCTCCTCGCTCCTTTCGCTATCCTCGCTTGGAGCAATATCCATTAGCTCAATGTTACGCTCCATCACTTCATCTTCTTCGCTCTCGTCTTCAAACCCTTCACAACTGTGCGTGGACGCTATCTCATCCTCACTATTGCTTCTAGATCGAGCTTGCTGTCCTGGACGATCTTTCCTTGCCCGGTGCTCGCTTCGGTGGTAACGACTGATATGCTTAATGACAGTGTTCTTCTTGTCCTGGGAATCACAGTACGGACACTGATAGTCTCCCTCCACTTTACACGTCTTCCTGTGCTCTGATAACTCGCGCCGGACAAAATAAGCGTCCATACATTTATCACACCGGAAGGTCTTAAACACCGCAGCCTCAGTAGCGTTCGGCCGCTGGCGAATACCTCGAACGCGTACGTAACAGTGCAGGCGGACATTCTCCACGGAATATTTTGCACCGGCGTGGGCTTAATCACCCCTAAAAAGGAGCATGTCTCCTTTGTTTAATTGCAACGTTAACCGCTTTCCTTTCTCGGGTTGATCACCAATGCAGCGTGGATAAACGTGAAACAATGCGCCATCCATTATAGAAGCTAAAACAGAACCCGGGACTAAATGGTGGCGCAGGTATGCACGCGAAACCTCGAACGACGGGAAGTCGCGATGGACTGCCTGAATTTTGCCACCTGGAACAGACTTGATAGCATGCCATGTATCAATGTTCACCTCCCAATCTTTGTTGGCCCCCTCCACAATATCCAAGACAAGATCATGTATCTCCTTGATGGCCGTTCCGTCGTCGACTTCCAGACCGACTTGACCACGGTATACGTCAAGCGTCTAGCGTGTACTTTCCTAAAAATAGGGCGGTAATCCAGTCGCTCGACTTCTTCAAACGCGCGCTCACAAAGGTCTTCTGAAAGAAAGTTTTTTTTCACGATGTAGCCAATGTTCCAAAATCGTGCAAGTTCTTCGAACGAAAAAGACATGATTTTTACCGATATAATCCTGTCCCAAAATACCGTAGATGACACCGAACGGCAACAAGAAGCGACGGCTGCAAGCTACGGCGTCGACAACAGCAGCAAGGGCAAGGGACCGTAACAGCAGCAATAACAGCAGCGAGCGACGGCAGCAGACTACGGCAGCGACTATGGGGCCAGCGGGGCCAGCAGGCGACGACAGCGACAGTGGGGCCAGCGGCGACAGCGACAGCGATGGCAGCGGGCCAGAGTCTAAATGATGAACTGAGCCGCCAGTCCGCTTTCGGTGGTGAGGAGCCAACTGATTTACATGCATCGATATGATAGGTTAAAATTAATTGTTCCATTTGTAGTGCCGCAGGAATCCTGCCGCTGCACATCTGTGGATTTACCTTTTGTGCGTCTGTGGATTTGCTTAAATCGTCTGTGCGAATCTCCTTTTCTCTACATGCATGCGGACCGACTGCATCTACTATCATTTTCTCCCACATGATTCTAGCGTACATTATAGATTTGAAAGTGCACGCTGACTTAGGTAGTACATAGGCCTCAGATGAACTAAAGGCAGTGTCTGGGAAAGCTGAACCAGAAGGCTTCGGAGCCACACACACGAGCACATAATCTTGAGTACGGTGTACCACTTCTGCATCATAACCTTTCTTTTCTATTGACAAAAGTCACATTGATAATACATGTGCAGTACGTGATAAACCCAAGCGAGCAACGACTTCGGCAGGGTTAGCGCGCTGACTATCATTTACAGCTTTTAGAGTTTGTGATATTGCTCCAAAGGGTTGCTGGTCGTACCATACCCTGTAGGTGTAAGATAAAATTTCCAACGCGAAAAGCGAGCTCCTGTGATCTATTAGAAAATAATATGGTCGCTACACGGCGAAATGGGGAGCTTAGCTCACCTGCACCGAGCCAAGATGTCAGAACAAATGCACACTTTCGTAGATACTACTCTTCATCGGGAGAAATTTGCAAATCTTAAAAGTTCCTGGAAATAGCTTTACTGTGATCAAGTCCAACTTTGCATCATTAGCATGTTGAAACATATTCTGTGTCACATGGAGCCAACACATCACAATGGTGGTTTCAGGTAGCTCCGCAGTACAGGCATTGTGCTGGGCGCTGTCTGCGACGAAGTCAAGCGAGAACGGCGCGCCCAACTACTTCAAAATGACCCTTCTAACCCGGAAATGTACCACACAATATCCTCTTTGCGTCTTTGCGATGTGCATCATTACACGATCGCCAGAAAGGCTACACTGCGATCTGAAAAGGCCAATACGGAAACGAAGAACTTCTGCTGCACGTAGTTGTGTGCTGTGTCCATATGCAGTAGCGTAGTTAGAGAAGGTTTCTGCTGCACCTCAACATAACGCTCTAAAAGACGCTTGCATGTCAAACCGATGCGAATGGGCTGCCTTGAGACCCCGTGCTGAAGGCAGACTCGACAACGCCATCCACAACTTTTGTGTCGGGCAATATTAGCAGCGAATCTGGATCTGCTTCCCAGGTGCGTAAAGTTTCGCTGTCGTACATGCGCTGCCGGCAAATCTCCAGCACGGTTTATGCCATTCGGTGAGGTTTACGCCGACATTCTTTCTGGTAGTTCTGGACCTGTGAAATATGAGGGTTAGGTCCGCCGATATGCCTATCCTTAATCTCACGACACAAGAATACGGACAAGGACTGAGCTATAATAGACGGACAATCATTCAGCTTGAAATTTAGATAGGACTTCATGCCGACGGGCAGATTAGATATCATGAGAGACGGTGAAACATCGTCGGTCATGGCATGATCTCCATGCTCGATTTTTTCCGTCGCTTTTTTTACGCTCTAAGATCTGATAGCGACACGTGCATGCTTCTGTTGTAGTTTTGCAGCGCTGTGATTTGCATTAAGTTACTATATACCGCATTTCATGCCACGTTACAGCCAGGTCATCTTCGTCATGTTCAACATGATCAATCGTACCGTAGTGTAGCTCACTTGTTGGCCGCGAAAAGCTCGGCAATCTTTGCAGAATTTCATCAAAAGAGATACAGTTTCATCACTTCACGCCAAAGAAGACGTCCTGCACGACCACCTTAATCATTCACCATGGTATCGCCCCACTCACGATGCTGCTATTTTTAATGCTACTTAGATGTTAAGAAGCTACGCTCCTAACTATTTTAATAGTATCTATTTGTGGAGAAGACATGGTTCTTGCGAGACGACTCTTATTTGGTGTCTTTCTTTTGGTGACCCTTTCTACGGCCTTTTGCGTGGTCGAAGAAAATTACAGTAGTGCTTTGGATGGTTCTCGAAAGTGATACAGTATTAATATTGATAGCTGTAGCTGGCGTGCAAAAATAATAGTAGCCGTCCTATTTCAAATGTTACAGCAGCAATTAATTTTTAAACCTCGGATCAAACAAATCCTCAAGTACACCGTCTTTATTTGTAGGCATTTTGAAATATTGTAGTTTTTGAATCCCCAAAATATTTTAAAATGGTATTGTGCACTAGTTTTTCTTGACCACCATCATTCCGAAATGTTGGTGCAACATTCTTTTTGTACTTGGTTTCGTCCGATCATACAAACCTCAGGTCAGATCTGAATGTTGCAGCAGTGGCCTCGAACCGTGTGGCTGCCACAGATCGACTTCCAGGGGAGCTAAGCAATGGAGAAGGGCAAGGCCGCGATGGAGAACATGAAGAACATGAAGATGCCGCCTGGAAGCAAAGGACCGGCGACCGCACTGGTCAAGGTGGCTGTCTTCACGGGCGCTGCCATCTACGGAGCCTACCTGTCCATCTACAACGTGCCGCCTGGACACCGTGCCGTAGTCTACAGCCGTATCGACGGCGTCGGTTCCCAGGTGATCGAGCAGGGCACGCACTTCATGATCCCGTGGCTGCAGCGCCCGCTTATCATGGACGTGCGCACGCGTCCGCGCACGTACGCGTCGCTCACGGGCACCAAGGACCTGCAGATGATCAACATTTCCATCCGTGTGCTGTCCAAGCCCGACCGCGCGCGTCTGCAGTGGCTCTACCAGAACCTTGGCACGGGTACGCAATCCATTGCAGTACATCATACTGAAGGAGGGTATTGTACTGACTATTTGTGTTGCAGACTTTGACGACAAGGTGCTGCCCTCGATTGTGAACGAGGTGACCAAGCAGGTGGTGGCCCAATTCACGGCCGCCGAGTTGATCTTCCAGCGTGACCACGTGTCGCGTCTCATTATCGAGAACCTGGTACGTATTGCAGCAAGAAATAGTAGTATTATGCTGAAGTGCCGGTGGTTAATTATCTTTTGATATTGTTGATGTTGACGGCGAGTAGAAGCGCCGCGCGGACCGCTTCGCCATTATGCTGGAGGACGTGTCTATCATCCACTTGACGTTCGGCTCCGAGTACACGGCCGCTATTGAGGCCAAGCAGGTGGCGCAGCAGGACGCCGAGCGTGCCCGTTTCGTCGTGGAGCGCGCCATTCAGGAGAAGAAGAGTACCGTCATCCGCGCTCTCGGTGTGTCCAAGTCGGC